TAAAACTTAATTAAGAATTTAAATATAAAAAATATATTTCGATTAGTTAATATATATTTCTTAATTGAAAAAAATATAGAAATTTAGAAATATCGTAGGGTAATTTAGTCTTTTTAGTTGTAATGGGCTGTAGGCCCACGTTTTGGATAAAAAATATCAGTGGGCTTTCCTTTTTCGTGACCGCCACCAGAAAGGGCACCCATTTTCATGTTCCCGCCTCCGTGAAAACTAAACTTTTTCGAAGAGGAAGGGCCCACTTGTTCCTAACCATAGTTAGGGAAATAAACCGCTATTGCTGGTTAAGTTAGGATGCTCATCAATCTGGGTTAATCCCGAACTGGTCCGAACTTCTGTTCGAGATCTGTTCCACGATTAGGGTTACGAAGGTTGGATTTTCGTCATCTTCTATAGTTCATTCCCTCAGATTTGCTTCGAATTGATCTTCGGATTTAAGGTTTGTGTTGTTGAGATCTTCGATTTCTCTTGGAATTCTCTGTTACGAGAGAAGAAGAGAAAATTGGGGAAAAACCAGGCAAAATGGAGACGCAAAGGATGATTGAATTTCCGCACAAAAATATGGATAAACGCCCGAAGAAGAGGCAGAGATTAGCTTGGGATATGCCTCCTCCTGTTCCTCCTCCGAAGGTACTGGTTGTTACTCTTTCGTGCATGTTGGGATTTATGAGTTTTATTTTGTATTTTTAAATCTAATTCTTCGTTTTGAGGACCTGGTTATCGTTATAATTCATTTACCATGTTATACAATAACTTGTGCTTGTGGAATGGAGATTGAAAATTTCAAATCGTGGAGATTGAATCGGCTCTTTATGGCTTTTGAACGTATGATGAGATCTAGGACCCAAAGCGTTTGTAGTTCGATGATTCTGAACTTATGTTTAACTTTGAGTTTTGACTTGTTATGAATTCAGGTTGTTCCACCACCATACTGCGGGCAGGAATTTGGGAATGGGCAATTTTCCAATTATGGATTTCCGACTATGTATTGCAGGGGGGCACCGCGCCTTGGATCTCCTCCATGGAGGCCTGATGACAAAGATGGACACTATGTATTCTCCATTGGAGAATGTTTAACTCCTCGTTGTAAGTATCTCCCAGTTCTCTTACATTAGCATATGAACTTGCTTTGCGTTTTCTCATGATATGGTCATTGTCATCCCTTGGTGCATTTTTGACACTTTTGAGAGAGGGATCAGATTAATTTTAAATTTGTTGGAATTTGTTTCTAATTTGGGAGTTATCTGATTAATTGTTGCATCTTGGACGTAGTAATAGATGGTAGAAACGTTGATCCTTTATTTTTCTCACCGCGCATTTCTTGATACTTGTGCCTATTATCGTTATACCTCTGGCATTAGCTGATATCCCTGTTTATGCCTTCTGCAGACAGAATTCTGAGCAAAATGGGTGAAGGTTAGTATAGCAGCTTCAGGAACCTAGTTTTATCTTCTTCTCTATGTACCTATATTTATCTCTGTTGCTCTCTCTTGGTGTATTTTATGGGTTTATTTGTTTATTTGTCTTTTCTCTTTACAAAATTCAATAAAATTTTCCCCATCTCTATAGGAACATTTGGACAAGTCTTAGAATGCTTGGATAGTGAGAAAAAAGAGGTTGTGGCTATTAAAATTGTTCGTTCTATAAGCAAATATCGTGAAGCTGCCATGATTGAAATTGATGTCCTACAAAGGCTGGCCAGGCATGATATTGGAGGCACTCGGTAAGATTTGATCAATCTTACTTCACTCTTTTGTTGGAGAAGTTCAAAGTAAATACTAGTATAAGTGGTTTCATTCCTTGCAGTTGTGTGCAAATTCGGAATTGGTTTGACTATCGTAATCATATATGTATTGTAAGTATTTGTTAATATCTCCTGATTTGATTAATTTGGAGGGGCAATACTAGTTTCTCCATGCCTGAATATTGTGTGAGTTAAAAGGAAACTTGCAGATGAATTTAAATGGTTTCGGCAGGTATTTGAGAAGCTTGGACCAAGCTTATACGATTTTCTTCGCAAAAACAGCTACCGTTCATTTCCCATTGATCTTGTTCGGGAGTTTGCCAGACAACTTCTGGAGTCTGTAGCATGTGTGTGAATAATTCTTGCAATTTTTGTTATTTACTTGACGCTTGAATAAATGCAACATGGATCCTAGAATATCTTATTGAAATATATGATGTCTACTGAAATTCAAGTTTGTTTGCTGGTGCATGAAATATTATACATATAACAGATGTCTGTCTTATTAACCTTTTCAATGATTATATGTAGTTATGCACGAGCTACGGCTGATTCACACTGATTTGAAGCCAGAGAATATTCTTCTTGTTTCCTCAGAGTTCATTAGAGTGCCAGACCATAAGGTATACTGATTGCTTTCAATACCTTTGCGGTCATGTGTGGGAAGGGAACATTTGTGGATGTTTGATATATGTTGCTCTTTTTATAAACTAACCCCCTTCCTGCATTCTAGTTTTTATCACGTTCAGCAAAAGACGGGTCCTATTTCAAGAATCTTCCAAAGTCAGCTGCGATCAAGCTCATTGATTTTGGAAGTACCACTACTGAACATCAAGACCATAGCTATATTGTTTCCACACGTCATTATAGGGCACCTGAAGTTATCCTGGGTACATATTTCCAGTTGCAGTATCATTGTTTTACCAGTTGCTATGCCACGCTCCCTTGAATTACACACTGTTATATTGCCTGCAGGTCTAGGATGGAACTATCCTTGTGACCTATGGAGTGTGGGATGCATACTTGTTGAACTTTGTTCTGTAAGCACTATCATTTAGACTAGGTTAAACCATTTATTGCTTTCATTAGATTTCTAGATTTCATTTTTCCTCGATCAAAATTGAACTTCGTTTAAAAATATTTGGAATTGGGAATTTCCTTTTTATTGCTCTTCTGTCCTGGCTGCTTTTTGGGGAAAGAATCCTTGTAAATATTTTAGATCCCGGTGAGAGATTTTATACGACTTCATGGGGATTTTATACGACTCCAAAGTCAAAAGAATCCTTTTTATTGCTCATTACAGCTTCATGGGGAGTTATGTTGGTAACTGGCCACTATAAAAATGTTGATTTCAAAAAAGTTTGGAAAATATGAATTTCCTTTTTTTGTTTTCTTATTAGTCGAGTTATTTTTACAACTAGCTATGTATTATCTTTTGACTTCTGCTTTAATAATTTATCTTTTGCTCGGTAAGCAGGGCGAGGCACTTTTTCAAACACACGAAAACTTGGAGCATCTTGCCATGATGGAGAAGGTTTTGGGCCCCTTACCTCAACATATGGTTCTGCGGGCTGAGTAAGGATTTTGTTCTCCTTTTATTTATTTATTTATTTATTTTCGGGTTTGAGTTATTGACAAACCTCTAATTATTTGTAACTTGTCATAAATTTTGCAGTCGCCGTGCTGAGAAATACTTTAGGCGGGGCATGCAGCTTGATTGGCCCCAGAGTGTAACATCTCGTGAAAGCATGAGAGCAGTCTGGAAGTTACCTAGGCTTCCGGTAATTATCTCCACTTATTTTCACCTTCCACTTCTTTTATTTACTATTATCATTATTTTTTAAAGTTTCAAGCTGTAATTCTGTAGTGTTCTCTTTTGAAATGTTCGATGCAGAACCTTGTAATGCAGCATGTCGATCACTCTGCTGGTGATTTGATTGATCTCCTGCAAGGCCTCTTACGCTATGATCCCACCGAGAGGCTCATGGCAAGGGAAGCACTAAGACATCCTTTCTTCACGAGGGATCTAAGAAGGTGTGGTTACCCTTTGTAGTTCTCATTCGCATTTTAATCAAAGAGTGAGCTCTGCTATCGAGGGAGAAAGAAAAACTTAAAAATGTGATGAATTGTTTCACTAATAAGCTGCTCTTCATCATCTCCTCCTTTTTATTCTTTTGTATTTGTCAAATTCTTGTGTAGCTAAAACCCCTAAAGATGATTCTATCACATTCCTTTTTCTTTCCCCTGTTCCCTTGTCTATTTCATACAATCATCATCTGATCTGTTCCTTATTCCAGTTTGGTTTGTGAAGGTTTTTATGCAAATTTACCCAAGTAATGTACTAATATTCTTCTTGTATTGATATGCATACTGGCTAGTTCATTATTTCCAGGTGCTTGGGCAAGGTCTAACCGTTGGAATGTAGATAGCAAACCGAAAGCTGCCGTTGAATGAAAACTGGAGCTGCGAGCAGCCTTGCCGAAAAGGGAAAAGAGAAAAGGGCGTGTGTTAGAGAGAACGAGCGTTGCCCCGCCATTTTTGGTTACTGACAGAAATACTATAGGAAAGCCAGAGGAAGATGGAGGTAACAGAAAATGATTGAGATTATATTGAACATTATATACAAAAGTAAACAATCTTTTTGGAGATGGAAGTGGAAAACAAGTGAATTATTTGTAGAAAGTGTTCGACCATCTCGTTTTAGGTTATCAAATGCCTTCATTCAATTGAACAACACAATGGCCACTCAATAAGTTTGAATAATGATCCATAGAAGTCATGGTGCATATTCAACTTGAGCTCATTAACAGATGATCTTAATCAATCTTTAAAAAGTTTTTTCGGAAATTAAAATAGATTTTCTGAAATGGGATAAAGAAACCTAAGCTCCTTGAATATGTATATTTTTGTTTCTTCTTTAAATTGGGGAGTTTTAATTTTTAAATGTATAGAACTCATTCATTTTTTAATTTTTATTTATTTATGTATTTTAATTTTTAGAAGTTTTGAAATGCTCTTTATTATATATAAAAAAAAAAATTATTAAATTGAAATGCTCATTACAATTTGGTCTCTTTGATGGTTACATAAGGTTTTTGTAAAAACCAACATGAAATTTGATAATAAATATCAGAAGCAATTATTACATAAAATATAAGATTTTGGAATGGAAAATATCTTAAAATTTGGAAGTAAAATAAATTATTAAAGCTCAAAATAGAATTTTGTGAAGCTAAGTATGTATTTTGAAAATAGCGCCAAAAACGATGGCGCATTTTGCCTTGTCAGATAAACGACGTCGTAGAAGTTGTACATGCGCAGATTTCTGTACACTCATCGTCGTTGTTCTTCGGTTTCTCCCTTTGTTACGTGATCAGGGTTTTGGATTTCCCCTGTAACATCCCATTTCTCTTCTCCCGACCCATGGATTCTCTTGGTAAGCTGCAGCACTGCCACCAGTCCCTTCACCTTCTCGTCAACGGTGTCCCTTGGATTTCAAAACCAATTTCTTATCTTAGCATCAGAACCCCACTGCCGGTACCGTCGTCGTCGTCGTTGTACAAATCGTCATCTGTTAGAGCCTCGAAGCGATCACCGTCGTTATCCTTCGACTCGTTTTGTCAAGCTCCACGACGGCGTGGGCCTTCACTCCCCCAAATTCTAGACCCCATTTCCTCGTCGATCCTCAAAACCACCTGCATCACTTTTGCTGCCGCCGCCGCCACCTTGTTTTTTATGCGGTTTTGCGCCAAACCTGCTATTGCAGCCCCAATTCCTCCGCCTACGGTGGAATCTGTGAAGGAATCAACGGATGGTGAAGAAGATAAAGAGAGGGCACTTGAAGAACAACTGGTACACAATCCCAATGATGTTGAAGCTCTTGGATCGCTCATGGAGGTAAGAGTTAAGGCTCGCAAGTTTCCTGAAGCGATTAAAATTTTAGACCGTTTAATTGAACTTGAGCCCGATGACTTAGAATGGCTAGTATTGAAGGCCAACGTTTATATTCATATTGGCGATTCTGAATTGGCGAGAAAGGAATTTGAGAGGATTTTATTGAAGGATCCTTTTCAGGCTGAGGCCTATCATGGGCTTGTAATGTTGACGGAGACATCAGATACTGATTCATTGAAGGCGATTCTGAATAGGGTTGAAGGGGCATTAGAACATTGCAAGAAACTTAAAGGGAAATCGGAGGAAAGGGACTTTAAGCTCTTGATAGCTCAAATTAAAGTTATGGAGGGTAGTTACTCTGAAGCACTGAAAGATTACCAAGAACTAGAGAGGGAGGAGCCGAGGGATTTTAGGCCATATTTGTGTCAGGGAATTCTCTATACTCTGCTTAAGAAGAATGATGAGGCTGAGAAACAATTTGAGATATTTCGAAGGCTTGTTCCGAAGAACCATCCCTACAAAGAATATTTTGATGAAAACATGTTTTCAACCAAGCATTTCGTACAACAAATTGAGAGGGATGCATCGACTTCAAATCACTGACTGTCTTTTTCATATCTTCAGAGCTTTCTGGTTCTACAATGATGGTTTTGTTGCTTAGTTGCAATCTAGCTCCACTTTTTGTCATATTTGGTTGAAATTAAGGGATGAGGTAAATATGTTTTGTTATTCCCATGTTATGGATCCTATTTTTTTTCATTGCTGGGGCTTGGTGCATTGAATTGCATGTGTCTAATCAAAGTACTCTTTGGTTGGTGAACTTCTATTGTTCATCATGGATTTTTGGACAAATTTTTTAAACTTTGAATCATGCCATTATGTGAATTACTTCCTACAATTTGTCCTAAACCTTATGTAGCTTGTTGGCTTTGTGGGGAACTGAGATAAAAGTCTTGGGGTATTCCACATCTTGCATGTTTGATCCTTTTCGGTAGAGAGAAGGAAACCAGAAACAGAATTATTTCCTACAATTTGGCTGACAAACCCCCCTGGTTTTGGACTGAGTTAGAGCATTTCTGGCTTGTTCAAAAGCAACATTTGGTTACTTTCTTTCTTTCCCTCTCCCTTTTTCTCAAGGGAGAAACAGGAACTTTGAATTTTTCTCCTAAATCTTAAGCAGTGAACATTTGAATTTACTTTAGCACTGTATCTCCTTCTAATAGGGTGACTGGTGAAGATAGTACATTGCTTTTCGACTTTCTCTTGAATCTCTAGATCTTGTTTATAAAATGGTGAAGATGGTACAGTGTAGGAAGGTCAAGAAAGTTGGTGACCTAATGACAGGGGAGTTAGCAATCAAAGTCCCGGGGAACGATGACCCTAACTATAACAGTCTTAAGGTAACGAAATTTCTTGTCGGATAAGTTCCGACCTGCATGCAAGGTATAGCGGTCTGGGCACCGTCTTAGAGAGGAGCTCAATGAAATTGACATGTCTGTGAAGATGCACACTACTTGCACCTGGACATAAAAACCCTAAGAAGCTTCACTGTTTCTTGAGATTGACTTTGAGTTGCCGAACTTGATTATACGATTGAGCCATATACTCTTAACCAAGGGATTAAAGATTTAAAAGAGATATTTGTATGTTTTTCTTCTGGTTTAACTTTTTAGAGTGTGTTCTACTTAGCACATAGAGTTTAGAACTCTTAAACTAGTCATGAACAATACCAGATTATTATTGTTGATTAAAGTAGTCTTGATTTGCGTATATTATTATGCCTAACTTTATTAAATAGTGTCCTTCCATTTGAAAATTGAAGTGGAGCACCATGGCATGCTTTTTAAATGTTTTAGGTCACCCCTTGCTTTCAACTTTTGTGGCTGTATGTCTCTTCCATGCACGACATAGCCCGTAACATCTGGCCTTTTTAATGCTCGGCTTCATTTTCTCCCTTCAAAGGACTTTGCTTCTTTTTCATTTTACTTTTACATTTTGAAGTGAGATACAGTCTTAGGTAGATGTAGATTCTCATGATGTAATAGTGTCTGTATTTTTTGGGTTTAAAAATGAATTTGAGTTTCATTTCTCTGTCATGTCGCATTAATTCATCTGGGCCATGCAATTGCAGAGGGTAAAGAACAAGTGGAGGCTTGGAGACCAAGAATTCCCCACAAGATACGACACAAAGGTTGGTCTATACATCTTCTTGGTTTCATGTGCCTCTTGATTGCTTAATATAGGACATGTCCATCATGATCTTTTTACCTGTAACTATCATCATTTCAGGTACCATTTAGCTTTTAGTTTATAACCTTTAAAGTTTTTGATTTTAGAAGATGAAGCTTATAAATACTATTTCTACTTATGAGTTTCTTGTTTCGATATTTACTTTCCTTACCTATCGTAAGTCAAGTTTTAAAGAACTCGTTTTCGAAAACTTATTTGGTTGAAGTTTGATTAAGAATTCAAATGATTAGAAACAAATAATCTTTTCATAAAAAAAAAAAAAAAAAAACTAAATAAGCAATAATGAGATTACTTGTAGATTACTTTTTATTTTATTTTATTGTTCTTAACACTGAGAAATGATCTTTTGTTCTTTATTTTTTTGAAAAAAAAATCTTCAATGATTTATTACAAAGTTCATTTAAAGTAGAATGGATGCAGTAAACGTTTTTTCTTTTAAAAAATTTAAGTGGGTCTTTTCACTTTTTTTAACTTTTAGTTATAATACATATTATTACCTTTCTTGTTCATAGTTTATTTTGTTTTGTTTACGATAGAAATCCATGCTAATCTAAGTTGGATTAACTAGTTTAAGTATATATTCTAGGTCGAAAATGAGAATTTTTGCTAATCTAAGTTGGATTAACCAGTTAAAAGTGCATATTTCTGAATTAAATAATGAAATGGTTGAATGAGTATGTATTTGATTATTGTATGATATGGTAAGATTTGTAGTGATAATGACCAATAAACTCAAGTTGTTGTTCTTATATGGTACTTGTTGTTTTTTTGCGCCCTGTTTCCCTCTGTTCTTGTCTGTTTTCTCTCTCTCTCTCTAGGAGCAGTGAATGAATTGGAAGGAAACAAAAGAAGCTTCAGTTGTCATATGTCCTATCACTCTGTCCATGTTTCATGCACCACTGCATGCTTACCCATCCTTTTTATTTCCCAATAAAATATTTGTACCAAGTACTTTCATGACATGCATTATACTAGTAATTTTTTCATTTTCATTTTTATTTATATTCTCATAAATTATTCAAATTTATTTATACTCACAGTTAATCATTTGACTTTTATAATAGTTAGAGATGTCCATTTTACTCGTGAAATCAGACTTTACAGGTAATGGAGAGGGGGTTTCCCATTTAGACGGAGAATGAGGGAGGGAGTGGAGAACATTCTTTTCCCATTAGATAAATGAGGTCGAGGACGGGAAATATTTTTCGTTTTCATCCCTGTCCTCGTCTCAACCCTTGCAAAAATAGACGAGGAATTTCACGGGGATGGAGACCCGAACAGCTAATGATAGCTTTATTCATTTATTTATTTGGTTGGAGTGATTTAGCAGTGAAGGAAGGTTTTGAGAATTGACCGTATATTTTGTTCAGATATGAAAGTAAGTAAGACTTTTGTAAGTGGGTAGTTTTGGTATTTTGTAAAAAGTAAAAGGTAGATAAATTTTGATTAAATTATATTTGTTATTAATTACGTCCAAATAAACAACATAACAATATTAAGATTTATAATTTAATAATTATTTTTGTGGAAAATTATAATATTGGCAAGATTGGAAATATATATATAATTAGGATAATATGAGTTATATTTTCAATTTTGTTAATTATTTTTTTTTAATCCTTTAAATACATAGGAATAAAGTATTATATAAGTATTGAATGAAGAAAAGAAAATAAAAAATAAAAAATAAAAAAAGGTAAACATTTTAAAAATAAATAAATACACAAAAGTCAAGATGTTTGATGCTATAAAAGTTTTAAATATAAAGAATTGTTCTAAACTATTTTATTACCAAATCTACCCTGTCTGTCAGTTTACAAAATTACCCTCCAAATTTCTTTCTCTTTCCTGCCACTTGCCCGCTCATCTTTCTCAATCTTTTGCCAATTTGAATGTTCGAGTCCCTTTCCTTTTTTTTTTTCTTCTCTCTCTCTCTCTCTCTGTCTCTTTTTTCTCTCTCTCATTGATTCCACCGCCGCTCTCCGCCGTCTCGATCCACCGGTGTGGAATTTCTTGTTTCCGATTTTGATACGGTTAGGTTCTGTTTCCCTGTTCTATGCACGTTCCAGATTGGCTGTTTTCTCTCGAATCCCACGATCTGTAGATTTGCGAATTTTACTGAATTTTGAATCTGAGACTGAGAATGTCCTTCACTTGCTGTTTGTTTAGAAATTGCTTTTAATGCGTTGAATGGAGAAGCTTCTACTTGCTTCGACCAAATAGGTAGAGGCTCACGGGAATCACTCGTCTAAGCTCGGGTTGAACAGTTGTTACGAGGGGGCGACTTATTCGAGAAGGTTTCTTTCTTTATTTTTCTTGTTTCTTTGGGGTGTTTTCTGTTTGGCTCTTGAGGAAATTTCGGGAAAGGAAAAGAGCACAGAGACGGACTTGTTTGTTTGTTATTGTACTTATGTTGGATGTACTGAGGTAAATCGCTGATCGAGTTTTTTTTTTTTTTTTTTT